GGTATTTTTGTCAATGATGGATGCACTAGTTTATGCTTTAGTTATTTGAAAGCGTTTTCGTTCTTATTTTATTTTAAACTTTAATGGCATTATTTTAGCAATCATTTTAATAATTTAAAAGTTGTTGGCATTGCATTTTATGTCTTTTCATGTTTTTCTTTTTTATATTATTAGATCTTGATCCATGCATCAACAAGACCTGTGAATATTTTGGTGTTTGTCAGTCAATGTCAGCAAGTGTTGCTCAGTGTGTGTGCGTTACCCAGTGTCCATCTTACCAAGATCTCGTGTGTGCTTCCAATGGTCGAACGTTCGATAACATGTGCGCTCTGGAAAGAGAAATCTGCCAAACGCAGGGAAACTATTCRTATTACCATCCAGGCAGTTGCCAAGGTAGAAAAGTAATTCCTGATTAAAAGTTCTACTATCGACAACGTTTTTGTTATGATCAATTTTCTTTTCGATGTTATAGGTTTTCCTTTCGACAAAGGAACACATCATCTCAGCCATGTTTCAGCCGAGTCCCATTGTGAAGTTGTCTCTCTCCAGCCCTACGCATTCTATCCCGACAAACCCATTCATGTCCAATTAACTGTCAACTACATCAATGCGTCCCTTCCGGCTAATGTCCATGACGCAACAGTCACGTGGTCTGAAAAGGTGAATCCAGACAACTTCACTGTGTGTATGACCAAAACTGGAAGAAATGATCAGTCTACCAATGACGTGGCATCAGTTGATTGGATAGCGTATCAGGGTTCACCAAACGGAGCGGTGACTGGGAAGGAGCGCATTACACAATGGTGGACTGGTACCAAATGTACGACGTTATCATTACCGAGTGTAAGTATTTGATTTATTTCCTCAACTATCTGAGAATTATTGTTTGGACTATGGCATTTTTTACAGCGATATCACATTATATTAAACGACGTGTTCAAAAATTGTTTTGCATGTAGCCTGAATAACACAAATATTATGAACAAATAATTAAACAAATATTTTCTTCAATATTATAATAGTATGTTAATTTTAGGGTAAATTCACGGGTACCCCCACGGTACTAGTCACTCTCGAGCACCAGAGAGATGGACTCAAACACGATGCTGCCAGTGTCTGGGTCGAGGACATCAGCTCTTCATCATTTCAAGTTTGTATTAGAGAGCTGCAGAACTTTGACGGAAYACATGAAGARATTGACTTGGTAAGTATAATGCTTTCCTTTACATGAAGTTTACTATTCTTCTATTAGTATTTACAGTACTATGTTTAGTTGCTTACATCTCTATTTATGATTGTAGGATTGGATGGCATTTGAAACGCTTCATCTCCCACTGTTCTCTGAGCACGGCAGTGTTCACTTTGCAAATACCCAGACTCCTCTAGAATCTAACAACTATGCATTCTGCGAGGTAAGGTCATAGGCTACCCAACTATTGCTTGAGAGAAAGAAAAGAATGAATGCGCACGCTTTTATATTATGTTATCGAATCGGCGTGCGCTGTGGGTTACCTGTGGTATTACGTCACTATCGCGCGCCTCGCGGGATACAAACTAGTCTGTGACAAGGTATGAAACACTGGTCACGTGA